AAAAAAAAAAAAAAAAAAAAAAAAAAAATGTTCCCCTTGACTGCCAGGCAGGATCTCAAGTTCTTTCCTGGCAGCCACTTCCCTCAAAATGCTTTACCTTGTTTCCCACCTGGCACCCATGCCCTCTCCTGAGTCTCTTTTAGAAATGCTCCTTTTCTTACTAAGCGGCTTCTGCAAGACTGACACAGGGTGGGCTGGACTTGTATGAGGAACAGTCTGGTAGCCACTGGGGAGGCCAATGAAGACATAAACTCTGTGTTTGTTTGTTTGTTTGTTTTGTGGTACTGGGAATTAAGCCCAGAGCCTCACACACATACTAGGAAGTATGTACCACTGAACTACATCTGCAGTCCCTGATTTTTTTTAACTCTCTGATTTTCACAAAGTCATCTGATTGCATGTACAGCTGTCATTGTTCTCATTTTCTATATATATATACACATATATATATAATTTTTTTTTTTTTTTTGGTCTTTTTGAGATAGGGTTTTCACTATGCATTTTAGGCTGGCCTTGAACTCACAGCGATCCGCCTGCCTCAGCCTCCTGAGTGCTGGGATTACAGGCATGAGCCACCTCGCCCAGCTGCTCTCACTATATTTTACGTTCTTGTTATCACATGTGAAGCACTTAGAACTGTCCCGGCATGTGGTACAGTGCTCTCCAGGTTCATTATTGTTCTAAGGTAGTTCTGAGAGAAAAGGGAGACCAGCAAGCAGCTATTCCAGTGTCTTCGTTAGGATTTTCTCATTTACAACTTTAACTGTATATCCAAGGTGTTAGGGATTTGTGTGTGTGTGTGTGAGTGTGATTGCTACAGAATGTGTTTGAGGATAAGGTCAAAGGATGAATTAACAGATGAGACTGAGGACAGTGGTGCTGATAAAAAGAAAGGATCATGGATGACTCCCAGGTTGCATATCCAGGTCTTCAATGTTTGATGCTTCGCCTATCTATGAGATCTGTCATGGCAAGAACAAGATCTGTCAGGCTTCTTGGGTCTAACACAGATTTGCTTGTTTCTCCAGGAAATACAACAGAGTTGCTAAATTAATAAATGAATCACAGTGATATAGTTTAAAAAGCAAATCTGACCAGCACAGTGGTACATGCCTGTAATCTTGGCAGTCTGGAAGACTGAAGCAGAAGGACTGAAAGTTTGAGTCCAGTCTCAACTGGAGTGAGGCCCTGTCTCAAAATAAAAACTGGAGTGAGGCAACTTAGTGAGGCCCTGTCTCAAAATAAAAATTAAAAATAGAGCTGGGGATGTGGCTAAATGAGAAGGTTCTGGGTTCCAACCACCCGCCCTTATACACACACAAAGTAAATCTGGATACAACCTATTTAAGTTTAAAGAGTTTCCTGTACTAGGGTCCCTTAAAGAATAGCGGCACATGGACTGCTGGGCTTCCTGGTGAGCTCATCTGAAATGCAATCACTGAAATTATTTTTACTGGGCACCCACTACATGCCTTACCCTCAGATTTGCTTCTTTCTCCAGGAAACACAACAGAGTTGCTGAATTAACAAATGAATCACAGTGATATATTCTTTTATTTTTGGAATACTGGGAATCAAACTCAGGACCTTGTGCTTGCCAAGCAGGCACTTGTGCCTCTGAGCTATATCCCCAGCCTGATATATTTTAAAATGCAAATCTGGCTGGCACAGTGGCACATGCCTGTAATCTCAGCAGTCTAGAAGGCTGAAGCAGGAGGATCTCAAGTTCCTGGGCTACATAGAATTTTCTCTTTTTTCTTCCTTCCTTTCTTTCTCTCCTTCTCTCCCTCCCTGAGAACTGAATCCAGACCCTTCACATTGGAGCTACATTACCAGTCCTTTTTCAAAAACTTATTTTTCATACAGGGTCTTGGTATGTGTTGAAGGTGCTCAGACTGGACTTGAACTTGCAACCCTCCTGCCTCAACCTCTCTTAGGGCCAGTATTATAGGCATGTGCTACCATGCTAAGCTTTATGTGGTGAGTTTAAGGCCAGCCTGGACTACATAGCAAGATCCTGTGTCAAAACAGCAAAGAGAATCAGCAAGCAAGAGAGAGACACACACAGAGACCCAATAGGATTTACTGATAGACTAGAGGAAGAATGTGTCCTGGCCCCCTCACACTAAGATTACCAAGGAAAAATATGTAGCCCAAGAAAGTCAGGTGTATTTACCATTGTAATAATGAAGCCTGAACACCAGAGGTACCCTGGAGAGTCTTACTAAACAAAGAAACAGAAGGTTTTTGAGTTTGGGGTAAGAGTGAAATCTAGGTGAAACGTAAGTAAAGCAGTGTTTCCATAAGCTCAAAGTAAATCAGAAGAGTGTGTAAAGGGATCAATATTAGGTCTGGATTGCAAAGTTAAAATATGTTGAACATTGTGTCCAGAAACCCCTTATCTAAAGCTTTGAGCCTGGACTGGAAGTTGAAGCTGCTCTTCTGTGTCAAAGTGACTTAGCTCCTCCAGGCAAAACTGAGGAATTATATCATTCCTACAGCTACAATTTCCTACAGCTATAATTTCAAACAGCAAAGTTTCTGATACTCTCTGACTTTAGACAACAGTTTACCAGTGAGTAAGAAAGCAGTAGTCATTCAAGGGGAGTCCTGCCACTTTACCTCTCAGCATGTCCTTGAAATATTTTTTCCTCTAGCTCTTCCAGTCAGACAAATGAGAGGACAGGTTTTTATTTTTTGATTTTTTGAAACTGGGTCTTGATGTAGTTTAGGCTGGCACTGAACTCACTACGTACGTAACCCAGACTGGCCTCGAACTCACGGGCATTCTCCTGCCTCAGCCTCCCGAGTGCTGAAATTACAGACGTGTACCACCGGGCCTGATTTGAGAGGACAATTTTTTTTGACAGTCCAAGTGAACTGACTTTCTGAAGTATGAAGAAAAAGAAAGGATGAGTCTAAGGGGCTTTTAGCCTCAGCAACAGGAAAGGAGACATTAGCTATTAGTTAAGACAGGAAGGACTATGGAAGATTTGGGGGGAGACAAGATGAGAAGTTCAGTACCAGACGTTCAGTATAAGTGCTGCCGAAGCTAGCACAGTACCAGATGTTTAGAGTTTGAAAAGTCCCAAATTCGTGGAGATGGAGACCAGACAGTTACAGTTAGAGACTAGACCAACCTCATTCCTCCCCAGACATCCCTCTCGTGCTCGTTGTGTTCACTATCTGTAGGCATCGCGTGCCGTTGCTATTTCAAATATCTGCACCGCTGCATGCAAACGTCTGCTTAGGTAAGACCCTAAGGCTGGACCCGGGGCCCAGGCACTGCTATAGTTACCCTTGGGCACCGCCCCCCAGAGCCCCGCCCCTCCCAAGCCCCGCCCCGCGCTTGCGCTCACTTGTAGAAGCTCACAGGCCGGTTGTCCGATCCCAGTCGGCCGGCAGAGTTGGAGCAGTTCGGAGCCCTGCAGTACTTAGGCATGGCTATCCAACCCCTTAGTTTTGCCCAGTCAGCGGCCGCGCTCTGGTCCTTGCCGTGCTCCGCCGAGTCCCGCCCCGCCCGGCACCCGCCAGCACTCCGCCTGCTTCACGTGACGTTCTCGGTGACTCCTCACGTGATGGGGCGCGCTGCGGGCGCCTGCGTACTAGGTGCCACTCGCGTTTCCACAGATACGACCCCGTCACGTGGGGAACGGGTAAGGGCCAGTACATCTGCACGAGGCCGGCTCTTCACCACCCAAACCTTTATCACGTGTTGAGGGAGAGGTGGCCTCAGAAAGAGCCTGCGCCATCCTAGTCCTCTGGTCTTTTAATGTCTTTCGGCTGCACCCTACACCTACATCCGGGCGACTGCTACGGCGCGCAAGGCAGCAAAGAGCAGGGCGAGAAGAGTTTGGCTTTCGCCTCGTAAAGGTTAAAACCTGTATGTTTCAGTCAAGAGGAAAACACTGGACTAGAAAGCTCGCCACACGTTGCCAAGCATCAGATTTAAGACCCCACCCTGCCTGAGACTCCGCTCCGCCTCTGAGCTCCCATTGGTCTTGGGCGCCGCATGCAGCCCCGTGATTGGCCAGACGGGCGGCCCGCGGTGACAAATGAGCAGCGGCGCCGGCGTTCCCGCGGCCATTCGCTGTTCAAGTGGGTCGTAGCGGCTGCGGCAGTTAAGGAGCGTAACGGTCGCCGGTCTCCAGAGCGACGATGGCGGCCTTAGGGCTCGGAGGCTACGCGCGGAACGATACAGTCGAGAAGCTGCCATCTGTCATGGCGGGAGTTCCAGCGCGGAGAACCCAGTCCTCCCCGCCCCCAGCCGCACCGCTCTGCCCGCGGCGGCGGACACGACTCTGGGCGGGGCCGGAGGACACGGTGCAGAACCGGGTGAGGAGCTGCTCGCCCTGCCTATCCTATTTCAGGCTTTCCTGGGCTGCCCTTAGCCCCTTTCTCAGCGCTTTGGCCCTGTCTACCAGCCCCCAACTGGTACCCTCAGGTTTCTTTCCTGCCCTGTTGTGTCCCAGAGGCCACGCCCCCTGCTCGGGGCTCCTCCCATTTCCCCGCCTCCTCGTCCTGGGAGCTGCTGCTCTTCATTCCTGGCTGACCCTCAGCTTTGGAGCTTTCCCTGGTTTCCAGCATTCAGCAAGCATTTCGCTTCTGCACATCATCCCTTTGTCCCGTCTTCCTGGGTATATCTTAAGCTGCATCTAGTCGCCTTTAGGCATTTTTCCCATACTTCCACTTTTGTTGGCCTCGCTCCCGCTAAGACTTCAGGCTACCTACCTGCGTTCAGTCTGGAGTGTTAACTCCCCCAGCTCTTCCTCGAATCTCCCCCCTTTCATTCCCCTCCCTGGCTTCTCTTTTCTTTTCCCTCACTAAGGTAGTGTTCTTATTCCATTTTGCCACTCAAAACTACGGAGAGGATGTGACTATGTAAAATGTCTGCAACGTTGCCTATACAGTAGTGCAGTTTCCCCTTGAGACACAGGGATGCAGAAGGAAATGGTTTTAGAATAGGTATTATTCCACTAGAGCAACAACAATTTTAAAAACTGTTTTCTAACCCCCTAGGCACAAAGTCTATTTTTACAAAACGGAGGTAACATCCTTACCATGGTATTGAAGGGAGAGGAAATTCTGACTATGATATTCTTGGCACAGAGTCCAGATAAAGGGTGTATACATGGTAGGTGCTAGTGGATCTTGTTCCTGCTTGGTGGATTTTTGCTGCTTCTGGTTATGTGGCTTGCTTCTGGCTGCAGAGCTCCAGGCAAGTAGCCCTTGACTATCCTTCTGGCTGTGCCTCCCATGTCCTGCCTCTCACCAAGGTTCAGTCATACTGGCCTGCTGTTTTCCTAAAGCTCCAAGTTCTTTTCTGCCTCCTAGCCTTTCTGTTTGGTGAGTCCTCTGCCTGGACTTCTTGCTGCAGTGTAACTGGTTGGTTTCCTTCCATCCTTCAAGTCTCAGCCTGAATATTCCTACCCTGAGAGTCCTAGTCTGAAGCAGTCACCCACCCGAATTTCTCACTCAGTGCCTTATAGTTCATAGCCCATATATCTTTCTGAAAGTGCCTTGTGAGCTCTTAAACTGTGTATGTAGGAGAATAACAAAAGCAAATACAGAGAGAGTGTAGAGGTGGGTAAGAGCGCAGCCTCTGGACTCAAGCTGCGTGAGCTTATATATTAATTTTTTTAATATATCTTAATTTTGTCCCTAGTAGAGTTGTGAACTTTTCTAGCAAGTTAGGAAGTTTTTCTGTGCTTCAGTTTCCCCATCTATAAAGTGAGAATAATGATGTAGAAATTGCTCAGAGTATTTGTTGAGGATTATATAGGCACATATCTGTAGCATTTAGAACAATACTGGGTATATTGCAAGTACTGTATTGATGCTTGTTAGCTAATACTGTTACTATTGTATATTGGGTAATGTCATATATTTTTCTTGCTTGGCAGCATAGCAGAGACTCTCAAAAAGACCTAATCTAAAAATGTCCAGTTATATAATACCCAGTAATGCTGATGGACACATAAAAACGTAAATGCCATTTCTTGATTGTCTGTTAGAATCCTGTCACTACTCCTTCCTAGATGAATAACCCCTCTTGGCCTGTTTCCTCATCTGTAAGAGGGCAGCGATAATGATGATGGTGGTGGTGACTACAGTATACCATAGGGTTAAGAGCATTACATAAGTGAATAGTTACAGGTTTTGGAACAGTGCCTGGCTGCTGGTAAATGCTCAGTAAATGTTAGCTATTATGGGAATGTTTGGCTTTTAATTCTGAGACCAGTGAGTTATTTAAGGAGGGGTTACTCTGTAATAATTAGAAACTAGTCTCTCTAAAATATGAAAGTACCATAATTCTGTTAGTCCATACTTTATATAAGTTGTTTAATCAACCATGATAGGATCTGGCCCATTTAACTTGGCTTTGAGAGCTTAAATTTTTTATATGTGACAGTTCTTTTGTTTTTTCTTGATACGTCTAAAACCTCCAACCTGTAAGTTTGACAAGGGAGACAGTGTCTGCTTTTGCTCGCTGCTCTGTCTCCTGCAAGGCTCAAATGGCTGGCTCTGAGCCAGACTGCCTGGGTTTGTATCTCCCTTGGAGAACCTGGCCACTCCCTGGGTAGCAAATCCTGGGCCTCAGTGTCTTTGTCTGTAAATAGTGCCTTCTTCTCTGGGTTATTGTGAGGATTCAAGTCTTTCACCCACATAAAAGTACCAAAAATTTTCTTTAAAAGTTACCATCTCACTTCAGCATTCCCTCTTCTTTGGCATTCCCAATTTCTTTCCCTGCTTTATTTTTTCCTATTGCTTCTATCATCACATGACATCTAGTTTGTATATTTGATTTGTTCCTTTGCTGTATCTTCTATCCCCATCACCATCAGAATGTGAGCTCTAGGAAGGCAGAGATTTTTGTCTGTTGTCGCCTCCATTCTGTTATTTCATTTTTTAAAAAAATGTTTTGGTGCTGAGGACTGAACCCAGGGCCTCCTGCTTGCTAGACAAAGGATTTACCACTGAGCTAAGTTCCCAGCCCCCTTCCCCTCCATTCTGTGGCCTGAACCTAGCACTGTGTATTTGCTGAGGGAATGTTGTCAGAAAAGCAGGTGTTAGGTGCCTGTTGGTAGCTTGGCTGCCAAAGCTTAGTAAATGTGGATGGAGCAGGAACTGTATGGGGACTGAGCCAGCTGTCCCATGTGGGGTCTGTTGGGGCAGATGTCTCTGATTTGGGCCTTTTCTTTGCAGGTGTCACTTGAGAAGGTGCTTGGCATCACAGCCCAGAACAGCAGTGGCCTAACCTGTAACCCTGGCACAGGCCATGTGGCCTACCTGGCAGGGTAAGTACATAGGCAGGCCTCTGTATCTAACCACTGTGAAGGAATTTGGAACTGAAGTCATTGGTGAATCTCTGGGCCTCTGCTTTCCCATGTATAGAATGTGGATAATGCTGCTTATCTCCAGGGGCTGTGCAGTGGATTCCATAGGCCCATCTGTGTCTACAACAGTACCTAGCATGTAGTGGACACTATAAAAGGCTTAATCATGACTGCAAGTAGGAAGTGGAAGCAATTCTGGGACATTCAGGTGGTTAAATCCAAAATTAGTGCTATCTTCTGCCTAGGTAGGTAAGGGAAGGACTAAAGGAAATCCAGCAGCTGTTTATTCCACAAATAAGGCTGGCACTGTTGTAGGCATCAAAGGGACTTCCCAGCAAGGCAGGGCAGACCCATAGTGATTCCTGATGAACAATATCTATTGCTGAGTTTTAGGAAAGCAGTCCAGGATAGAGGACATAGGTGGGCTCTTAAATCCAACAAGGACGGATTCACATCCTTGTTCTGTTCCTGCCATACTGAATTATCTGGGCAAAGAACCCCCCCCCCCCCGTGGGTTTCAGTTTCCTTATCTACAAAATGGGCCTAAAACGTCCTGATCTCACTTGGCAGCTGTAAAGATTTAAAGAGATTTTGTGCACAAGGTCTTCATTAGCCAAAGCCAGTGATGGAGAAGCTTTTAGCGCTTTCCATGATACAAACAGCCCACTGCAGCACACGTACCATAGGTTCACCACCACTGGCCTAGGCCCTAGCACCCAACAGAATAGCTCCCACAGAGGAAGCGCTGGTCTCTATTTAAGAATATATTAGGGGCTGGGGATTTAGCTCAGCGGCACAGCACCTGCCTGGCAAGCGCGAGGTCATGAGTTTAATTCCTGGTACCAGAAAAAAAAAAAAGAATATATTAATAATGTTAAGTGTCCTAGAATTCTCAGCATAGACATTTTGAGGAGAAAGAGGAGACCAGAGAGAATCTTCTGTTGAGAGGAAGCTTTGTTGACCTGTGGGCTTTCTGTTAGGAAAGGGTCATCCCTGAACCAACATGCTCCCCAGCTGAGGCATATTTTCCTTTCTCCCTAGCTGTGTGGTGGTGATTTTGAATCCCAAGGAGAACAAGCAGCAACACATCTTGAATACTGCCAGGTAGGCTGTGGGGCCTGGCCATGTGGTGGTGGTGGTAGGGGGACCAGGGTCCTGGTATATCCCCCTTCCGCACAGAGTCTAAAGGTCCTCATGGGTAAGGGATCACTCATTCACTCCTCCATCAGCTTAGCCTTCATTCACCTAGTATTTTTCTGCTAGGTGCTGTTCCAAGTGCTCGTGACATGGCAGTGACCAAAAGAAACAAGAATTGTTCATTAGAGATGACAGTCCAGTGCAGGCTGTAGAACAAGTTGGCACATTACTAGCTGATGGTGCACAGAACTGTGGAGGGAGTTATAGAGGACATGCTAGGGCAGCAAAAGGCTCCCTGAGTCTGAGACCTGCAGGCAGTGAGAGGGTAACTAATATGAAGGCAAGGGGAGAGCACCGTAAGCAAGAAGATCAGCAGGGCAAAGGTCCTGCAGTGGTGAGGAGCACCTGTGGACCCTTGTGCTGGGAGTAGGACACAGGCAGGGAGAAGGCTGGAGAAGCAGTATATGTGCTGCCGAAGGGAGCACAGGCTGGAGAAGCAGAAGCTGCATTATGTGGGCCTCGAGGGCCGCGGAAGGGGGTCAGATGTCATACTGAATGCAAAGCGCAACCCTGGAAGGAGTTTATAGGCCAGAGAAGTGCTTTCCGATACCACCCGAGCCCTTCAGCACATCCTATGTCTCCACAAAATTTACTCCTTTCTGATATGCCATCTAATTTCCCTCTTGCCAGTGTTCATGCTCTTCCTTCCACAGTGTGATCTCTCTGAAGGCAGGGACTTTGTATCAATTCATTCTTTTTCCTTATTACTAAGGATGAACCCAGGGCCTTTTGCACTGAGCTAAATTCCCTATCCCCTTTTTACTGATTTATTTTGCAGTGTCTGACATAAGTTTTTTTATTTTAATTTTTTTTTGGTTTTCTTGATACAGGGTCTCACTATGCAGTTTAGGTCTGGTCTTGAACTCCCTTTGTAGCCCAGGCTGGTCTCAAACTCTTGCTGCAGCCTCCTGAGTGCTGGGATTGTAGGCGTACCCCACCACTCCCAGCTTTATTTTAATTTTTGAGATAGGGTTTCACTAAGTTCCCTAGGCTAAGCTCAAATTTTCAATGGTCCTTTCTCAACCTCTGAGAGTGCTGGGGTTACAGGTGTGAGTCACCATACTCAGCTTGATTTGGGTTTTAGAAAGATCCTTCCATCTGGGCGTGGTGACACATACCTGTAATCGTAGCACTTTGGACGCTAAAACAGGATTGGCATGGGTTAAAGGCTAACCTGGGCTACATAGTGAGTTCAAGGCCAGCCTAAACTGTACATTGAGAGCTTGTCTCATTTATTTATTTTTGTCTTTTTGGGACAGAGTCTTACTATGCAGTTCAGGCTGACCTTGAGCTCACTTTGTAGCCCAGGTGGGCCTTGAACTCGCAATGATCCTCCTACCTCAGCCTCCCAAGTGCTGGGATTACAGGTATGCGCCATCATGCCCAGGGAGAACCTGTCTCAAAAACAAAAAACAACAAAAAAATAAAGATCCCTTAAAAAAAAATAAATAAAGATCCCTCAAAAGAAAAAAATGCCTCCAGCAACAGGTTTCTTAGGGAAAGCCTTTTGCCTTGAACAAGTTTACCTTGCCTTTGGGCAGACTAATCACTAGTTTTGAGGATATAGTTCCAAAAGGGCTATGACTTTTGGTAGGCACCCTGCATCAGTCCTTGACATAGTTGAAGCTTAGCTCCTTTGACTCCAGGTGAACAGATCAGGTGTGGATTTTGTCTCACTTATGGTCTCTAGGGCATGGTCTTTAAGCTATGGCAAGCCCCATTATATGGCAGAGATGGATTCCAATTTGGGTTCTTGGACCCACAGGTCCTAACTACAGGTTCTGTCATTAATGATAAGGGCATAGCTGGCTTAAAGATTCACTGTGTGATCTTAGGTGAAATACTGCTTTCTGAGCAAGTATAATCTCCTCTGCAAATAAGGTGGTTGTTTCCTTTTGTGAAAGTGTCCTTAAGACAATAATCACAAACCAGAGATCTACAGACTTGCCTGATACAGTGTGTTTTCTCTTTGTTTTTTGTTTTGTTTTGTTTTTGTGATACTGGGAATTGAATCCAGGGCCTTTGCACTGAGCTGCATGTGCAGCCTTTTTTTTTTCTTTTCTTTTTTTTTTTTTTTTGAGACAGCTTTGCTAAGTTTCCCAGGCTGGACTCAAATTTGTGATCTTCCTGCCTCAGCCTCCCACAGTCCTGGGATTACAGGCATGTGACATCATACCCAGCTAAAATTTTTTTACACAGAAGTAAATGTCCTTATTTTGGAAAAGTAGGAAATCCTAGCCACTGGTACTCATATTCCCCTATGGCAGTGATGGACTAGCGTTTAGTGGTACTTGTCAGATACTTCTTGGCCAGTCTTTCTAGTCTGTGTTTCCTCCCTAATTCCTGTAAGCAGTGCAGGGCATGGAGGTGCCTACTTTCAGCCTTTGCTGGGTCTCACTGAGGCAGTGGTGTGCCTAGCAAGGAGATATTAAAATCTTGAGCACATATTAAAGTAATATGATCCTAGGTTTTAAGCCCAAAGAAAGTTGAATTTATTGATCTAGAATGAGACCTGAGCATTGCCAATTTTTATAAGTATATATAAAAATAATTCCAGGATGAGGGATATAGTCCAGAAGCACAGCACCTGCCTGGCAAGCACGAGATTGTGAGTTGGAGTCCTGGTACCCAAAAAAAAAATTCCAGATTTACAAGAGTAGTGAAAAGAGCACTTACATATCTTTCCTCTTATTAATAAACACTTATTTATCTTAGCACTTCTTTATCTTTCCTCCCACATATTAATATTTACCACATCTGCTTTATTATTCTCTATCAATACATTTATTTTTTACTGAACTGTTTGAGAGTAAGTTGCAGACATGATACCTCTGTCTCTAAATACTTCAGTATGAATTTCCCACAATAATTAGAGCATGGTACTTCAAAATTAAAATACATCCATCAAAATCAGAAATTCAAGCTGGTATAGCACTACCATCTACTCTTTTCACTCCATTCAAGTTTCAACATTTGTTCCAACACTGTCCTTTACAGCTACAGGATTCTGCCCAGAATCACATATTGCATTCATTTGTCACTTCAGTCTCTTTCAGAGTAAAGCAACTCCTCCATCTTTTCTCGATTTTCATGATCTTGACACTTTTAGGGACTACATATCAGGCGTTTAGTAGAATATCCCAGCATTCAGGCTGTCTGCTGTTTCCTCAAAGTAGATTCAGATTCTGTATCTTTGGTAGGAATACTTGAGAAGAGTTGTGTCTTGGGCCATTGTATGTGACTGGTGGTGTTCACATGGAAACTTAAGTTAAGGTGTTGCCTGCTGGACTTCATCAAAGCTTCTCTTTTCCCCTCTGTGATTAGTAAATGTCTTGGGGAATCTTCTCTGAGACAGTGCACATATCTTCCTGTTCCTTACCGCATTGCACTCAGCTAGTCATAGCATGGCATTGCCATATTTCAAAAGTTTAAAAAAAAATTTCCCACGGAGTTCTATGTAGCCAGGACTGAAACTTAGAAATCAGAAAGTTGCCCTGTCTGGTTAGGTGGCCTTGGGTAGAGGCTTCCTTGAGTAGAGTTCTCTACATCTGCAGAATTAGCTAATGAAACTAGACTCTACAGAGCATGCTCATGTGATGACCATGTAGCATTTGCCGGAGAGCCAGGCACAGGCTCAGGGCATGCAACAAGGCATGGGTGACTACAAACAATGAAAACCCATAACAAGCACGGCTAACAACACAAGGGCATGCTTTTCTCCCACATAAGAATTCTGGGGCCGGGCATGGTGGCGCATGCCTGTAATCCCAGCACTCGGGAGGCTGAGGCAGGAGGATAGTTGCAAGTTCGAGACCTGCCTGGGCTACAAAGTGGCTCCAGGCCAGCCTGAACTGCATAGCAAGACCCTGTCTCAAAAAGGCCAAAAAAAAAAAAAAATTCTGGAGATGTGCAGCCCAAGTGTCTGGTGTCTCTCTAAGTGTTAGGTATCAGCCATGTGTGATGGTGCATGCCTATAATCTTAACCATTGGGAGGCCGAGGCAGGAGAATCACCCTGAGTTCAAGGCCAGCCTGGACTACATAGCGAGACCCTGTCTCAAAAACAAACTTTTTTTAAAAAGTTACTAGGGACTTCATTCCTTTTGTCTTTCTGTTCTGCCACATTTAATTGCAAGGCTTCTGTTCTTGAGATCACCTCAAGGCCCAAAATGGAGTTCTGACTATCATGTCCTTGTTGCAGGAAGAGTGCAGGTAGGGAGGTTCGCAAGGGGTTCCCATTGAGAAACCTTTCTGGAGATCCCATGCAGCACATCACCTTTCTGCTTATAGGCTATAAGTCATGTAACTATGTCTGTATAGCTGCAAGAGAAGCAAGGAAATGTACTCTGTCTGGGCACATTGGCATCCCAGTTCAAAGTAGGGTTATGTCAGTGAGGAAGGAAGACAATCAGATACAGGGTAGGCAGCTCTGTGTGATGTCTGCTGCTATTTAAGGAGTAGAAGGAAGGCACCAGAGGGTGAGCTCCCTGATGATAAATGGAGCTTGTCAAAGACTCAGTTAGAAACATTTTCTTAGTTATCTGCATGCTAATTTACTAACTCATGAGGGAAACAATTAGTAGACTGTTAAGAAACAAAGAGGGGATAGCTCAGTGGTAGAGTGTTTGCCTAGCATGTGCAAAGCCTCAGTACCACAAAAAGAAAAAAGAGGGGCTGGGGATTTAGCTCAGCGGCACAGCACCTGCCTGGCAAGTGCAAGGTCGTGAGTTTGATTCCCAGTACTGGAAGAAAAACAAAACAAAACAAAAAAGAAAAAAGAAGAGGAAAAAAGAAGGGAGATGGGGGGAGAAAATACAATCTGGGAATAGGAAATCTTCCAGAAAATGTGCCAACTATTCTGGTCATTCACTCCTTGTGCAGGAATATCACCAGAGGGAAGCATTTCAGTTGTTTGTAGGTTTTGCACATAACCTTTAGCATGTGTGTGTTTACACTGTGAGTTTAGTAGCTGAGGACATGCTGCAGCCTTCTCGATGTTCATACCACCCTTTTAGTTAGGCCAGGTCCATACCATTGCCTATGTGTGGATTTCTCAGGATTATAGGGTGGGTGGGGTCTTAGGAAGCCCACTCTGCAGAGAGAGAAGAAAACAGTGTCCCTGAACAGTGTACAACCCATTTGTATTTCATGTTTCATAGAGGGAGCCTTTGCTTTTACCCCATTTCTCAAGTGCTATGTTGGGCACATAGGCTGCACTGTTTGCCAGGAGCTCCTTACACTCACCTCTCTTGGCCCATTCCCAGGCCCCAGGGGCCAGCAGTGGGCAGAGTGCTGACAGCACAACCACCCTCAGTAGAACCAGTGATCAACTCCTTTCCTTGTTCCCAGGAAGTCTCTGAGTGCTCTGGCCTTCTCTCCTGATGGGAAATACATAGTGACAGGGGAGGTAAGTCACAATCATGACTAAGCAGGTTGGGAGGGCCTTGGGGCCATTCCTTCTGCTCGCAGCAGCCTGGGGAGTCCTTGAAATAACTCCCTCCTGGGCCAGAAAAGTCCTGGTGCAGATGAGGGGAGTGGCTTTTGGGGATACCCTGTGGCAATGACAACTTCCACTGTGAGAGCCCCTGTAGCCCCGCCTGGTGCAGAGCCCAGCAACACCAATGGCGTTGCTTTCCCTAGAACGGACACAGGCCAGCTGTGCGCATCTGGGATGTAGAGGAGAAAAGTCAGGTGGCAGAGATGCTGGGCCACAAGTACGGAGTAGCCTGTGTGGCTTTCTCACCCAATATGAAGCATATCGTGTCCATGGGCTACCAGCATGACATGGTCCTCAACGTCTGGGACTGGAAGGTAAGAACCACCACTGGGCCTATGGACAGGTAGTCAGTTGCCAGAGCATCTAGAGTCTCAGGTACTGGGGGAACTGAATAAAACAATTTGCTAAAGTGCTCATTCAGCTAGCAGGTGTTTACTGAATACCCACTACTTCCTTCTGTTCTGCTACACTTATTTTGAGGTTTTTGTACCTGCGGTCACCTGTTGGCCCAAGGTGGAGTTCTGGCTGTCATGTCCCTATTTCAGAAGAGCAAGTGGGAAGTAGGGCACATTTCTTGTGGGACCCATGACAAGGTCTCAACTATGGAGTTAATGGATTTATTTTTATATCAAAGAGCTGTGACCTTGGACAGGTGACTTCTCTGTATGTTTCCTTACCTCTAAATGGCTATAACAGAATCCTCCCCCTTGAGCTGTGGGACTTCAATAGCTTCCACACCAGAAGGCTGGGGTTTGGAACACCTAGGGGAGGACTTGGACTCAGCAGAAGTGGCTACCAAGTCCTGGTTCCGCCCATCACCTATTATGTGATCTTGAACACATGCTGTCTCTGCTCAGCCTGGCAGAATGGTGGAGAAGTGCCTTCCTCATAGGGCTTTTGAGAGGATTCCATGGGTTACCCCAAGAAGGTCTCAGAGGAGGGCCCAGAGCAAGAGCCCTAGCTGTGACTGCCCCTACGTAACACCAGGGCTGCAGAGCTTGGACCTTTGGAGAGAGTTCTGGGACTTACTCTCACCTGAGAACCTTTCTAAGCCTCAGTCTCCTCTAGAGGTTAGGAATGAAAGAGTCATACGTCAGTTTCCCTAGAGTGTAGCTCACTATAGTGTCCAAGGAAAATCACCTCAGAGCAAAGGAGAGCAGGGAGACATCGGGCTGAGAGCAGGGAGACATGGGGCTGAGGGCCGAGGGACAAGGAGTCTGATGGGTGGGTGCTGGTGTGAGTTGCTCTGCACCCATTCTTCCAGAAAGATATCGTGGTGGCCTCCAACAAGGTGTCATGCAGGGTCATTGCCCTCTCCTTCTCTGAGGACAGCAGCTATTTTGTTACTGTTGGGAACCGGCACGTGAGGTTCTGGTTCTTAGAAGTCTCCACTGAAGCAAAGGTGAGTTTCAGTCCCTGCCACCTCAGCAGGCCCTAGGGCAGTCAGCGGTAGTAGCAGCATGGGCTCCTGTTTCTGTTAAAGCCTTGGGGGGGTGGTCTCCCAAGGACCTGCAGGACCCCCTGACCCTAGAGCCGGAGCTCATTTTTGAACCACTGCCTTCCAACCCCTCTGCCCAGGAGACTGTATTCTGTTTTTCCTTTCCTTCTCCCCCACTTGGAAGACTTCAGAGTCCTCTTTAGCTGTGTTGATAAGTGACCCATAATGGCCCTGCTGGGGACTAGGCCATGTGGATGATATCTCACTGTGTCCTACTGTGCTTCAGGTGACAGGCACAGTGCCCCTAGTGGGGCGCTCAGGAATCCTGGGTGAGCTGCACAACAACATCTTCTGTGGTGTGGCGTGTGGCCGGGGCCAGATGGCAGGCAACACCTTCTGTGTGTCCTACTCGGGCCTCCTCTGCCAGTTCAACGAGAAGAGGGTGCTGGAGAAGTGGATCAACCTGAAGGTACCCCTCCCTCTGTGCCCGCCGTCGGGGAGCTATTCTTCCCACCTGGTTGTCTCCAGGGATGCTCAGCAGTGTCCCTGCTGCTGGTTGGCCTCACTAGTTATGTGTGTGTGAGGCTCTAGGCATATAACTCCTCCTCTGTGTGCCCCAGTGTCTTTGTAAATGGGAATACTGCTCTCTCACAATTGCTAAGGTATGAGATGATACACGTGAGGTGTTCAGCACAGCGCTGCACCCTGAAATGGAGTCAGAATTGCAATTATTTTCCTATCACTCTTTGGTGTAGTTCACATTCCCTTTCATTATGAAGCACTCAGCTGGTCAGCTGTTACAAGGATTGTTTCTTTTTTTTTTTTTTTGAGATGGTCTCACTATGTAGTCTAGCCTTGAACTAGCTTTATAGCCTAGGCTATCGTCAAACTCACAATCCACATGCTTCAAAACTGGGCATGGTGGCACACGCCTTTAATCCCAGCGTTGGGGAAGTAGAGGCAGGAGGATTGCTGCGGATTTGAGGCCAGCCTGAATCACAGATAATCTTCACGCTTCAGCCTCCTGAGTGCTGACATTACAGGTTGTATACCATCACAACAGGCATGTCATATTTTTTTTTAAGCTAAGGCACCCTTGACTTTATTGCTTTTCAATCAAAAAAGACTATGCAAAATATGTAAAATTTTAAAACAAAGGATAATGAATCAGTAAATTGCAGAACAACGTTTCTTCAGTATCTGAAGGCTTAAGACCAAGCTATCTCCCCTATTCCAAGTTCATTTGCCCATTCAGCTGTCCCAAAGTAGCATAGTTTCCACTTTGTTTCCACCTTCACAGTTCAGAGTTAATGGCATGTAATAAAATTCTAAATTCTAGCTGGGCGTGGTGGCGCACACCTATAATCCTAGCACTCGGGAGTCTGAAGCAGGAGGATTGTTGTGAGTTCGAGATCCGCCTGGGCTACAAAGTGAGCTCAAGGCCAGACTGAACTGCACAGCGAGACCCTCCCCCCGCAAAAAAATTCTAAAGTCTGTCTTTTCTAGTTGGTAAACATCATAGTTGTTTTCTTTTTCTTTTTTTTTTTCCTTGTTTTAATCCTTTTCCTAGAATTTAAGCAGCTTTTAAATAGGAAGCTTTTGACAGCTAAAAGTTTACTGCCTGAGCATGATGGCTCATAAAGACCCTCTAGATTTGGGAAAATTCCCTTAATCTGTGTCTAGTGTCTGAACTTTCTGGCCCTTCTATCTGAATGTCCTGATAGGATAGAATGTCCTTCCTGTATATTGTAACTTCTTTCTAGGCTGCTATGAAATTGTTTTTAAGCAATAGGGAAAAAAATTTAAGCCTAAACATTGACCCAGTTATTACAGGTCCTCTCTCTGAAATTGCAGTGTGCTGAACAGATATTTTCCACACACCACTGAGTTCCTCTGTGGACAGCAATGACTGCTGTGTCCCAACTCATGCCTCTGTCTGCCTGCTGGCACATCTCCTTCAATGATGACTATAGCTACATCCTGATTTCAAAAAATCTTTTCTTTTTGTCTTTTTGAGACAGGGTCTCACTATGCAGTTCAGGCTGGCCTTGAGCTCACTTTGTAGCCCAGGCTGGCCTCGAACTTGCAGTGATCCTCCTGCCTCAGCCTCCCGAGTGCTGGGATTACAGGTGTGCGCTACCATGCCCTGTGCTAAAAAATCTTAAGATATGCCAAAAGGGGCATCTTAGACCCGTGGAACCATAAGTCTTCTCTGCAGTGCCAACGCTGCTCTCAGTCCATGTATCCCTGGGCCAGGTCGCATGAAGCACCAGGTTCACTTGGGTCTGTCTCTTCTGTTCCCACAGGTCTCCCTGTCTTCCTGCCTCTGTGTTAGTGAGGAACTCATCTTCTGTGGCTGCACAGATGGGATAGTCCGCATCTTCCAGGCCCACAGCCTCCAATACCTCACCAACCTGCCCAAGCCACACTACCTGGGGATAGACGTGGCCCAGGGCTTGGAGTCCAGGTACCACCTGGCAGGGGCAAGGGGTGGGGAAGGAGAAGGTCAGGCATCCATCCACGCTTCCAGGTTCTTCTGATCCATCTGCCTGACCATCCTACCAACACTAATGATTGCTGTCAGCCTTGGGCTTTACCCACAAGGAACAAAGAAAAAAATTTTTTGCCTTTCCAGGGCAGATTTCAGGGCAAGAAGTGAAGCTGGGGGTTGAGGGTGAGTGGTACGGGATGGGACACAAAGTAAGAGACAGAATCACTTCAGGTAATGCTCAGTGCTCTTGAAAAACTAAAACTCAAAGCAGGTCTGAATCTAATGGAATGTATTCTTGAGTGTTGTTAACATTTATTAAGCACCTGGTAAGTGCTGTTCCTAGCTGGAAGCAGGAAAACAAGCAAGGCAGCAGGATCTCTGCCAGCAGAAACTTTACAAGGGCTGGGTGTGGGGGTGCACGCCTGTCATCTCAGCACTGGGGAGGCTGAGGCGGAGGATTGCCATGAGTTCAAGGTCAGCATGAATGGCATAGTGAAACTTGGTCTCAAAAAGAAAAGTTAAAGGGAGCTGCATGTTATACAAGTGCACAAGCAAGTCAGATAGTCCTAGCTCTTGGTGAAAGAAAGCAAGGATTTGGGGAGGAACACCGGGCTGTGTTAATTCAGTTTCTGGTGAGGAAGAGCCAGGTGCAAAAAGAGCAAGGCCCTAACAGCAAGTGTGAAGGCCTTAGGGGGGCAACACATTGGAAATAGCATGTTACAGGAATAGTGAGGGCTGTGTGGCCAGAACTAGCATCCTGGGGGAGGATGGCAAGAGATGAGGTCCCAGCACTGATACAGGTTACCCAGCAGGAGGAGCCTGTAGTCTGTTCTGAGGCTGATGGGCAGCCTTGGGCGTTACATGACCAGGCTTTGCATGATAAATCCCTTGGCCGCCACCATGTCCAGAGTAGAGGGAAGGGCAGAACTGTGGCTTATCTCCTTTGTTGTAAGTGGGTCTAATGGACTGTGGGCTGGGTACCTAACTAGAACATGCTGGAGACCTGGGCTTCCTACTTGTCCATTGCCGGATACCACCTCCTGGGTTCCCTCTCTAAGACATAGACTGAACGGGATGACTGGGTGTCATGAAGGAAAAAAGATAGGTGAGCAACCCACAGCCCACGGCATGTGGTAGTAGCTGGGCTGCCTAGCCCTGCCACCGTCTGTTGTGTGCTATGTGTCCTAGGGCAGGTCAGTGTGCCTCTCTGTGCTTTGGTTTCCTCATCTGTTAAACACAGTACTCACTGTTATGACTGTGAGAATTTAGTACAGCTAAGATTCTTAGCCTAGCTCACAGTAAGTACTCAGTAAACAATAATCTTTGTAGGGATAGCCCAGGCCAGTGGGCAGCTCCCCAGCCCCCTCAAACAGAAGTTTTAAATTGCACATTGGTGAGACCAAGGAGAAAGGAGAGACAAGGCCTATGGCACATACTCATTCTCTGACCATAATCAGAAAAAAAGAGAATAGGAACCTGGGTTGAGTAGAATGAGGGCAAAGAAATGTCAATAGGAGTACTTTTGTCTTGCTTTTTCCTCTTTTATTTGGCCCAAACTCACTCTGCAGTGCCAGTTTCTCTCTCACTCTTCATTTTTATTTTTTCAAATAAACTTTACCACTGCTTAAAAAAAAAAAAAGAAAAAGAACACCTCAGACTGCTCTCAAAGACCATACAGACACTTACAGTTTGCAGCCTCTGTTAGAACCAAACAAAAGAAAGGAGATGGGGAAGTGGCATTGGGGTAGGTGAGATGCCATCAATACCATAAGGGGTGGAATCACCAGGCAAGAGAGAGGCTGCTGTTACTACTCACAGTGACAGTGGTGATGGTTGATGACCCGTGTGGTCTTGTTAGCTTTCTCTGTCACAGGAAGGTGGATGCAGTCTACCCAGACACCGTGGCACTGACCTTCGACCCTGTCCATCAGTGGCTGTCCTGCATATATAGGGACCATAGTATCTACGTCTGGGATGTCAAAGACATCAACAAAGTGGACAAGATGTGGTCAGAGCTCTTCCATAGCTCCTACGTCTGGAATGTGGAGGTGAGTCCCTCCATCCACTTGCCCCTGCTTAGTCCCTGTTTGGGGGCTCAGCTAGTGGAATCTTCCAAAGAGTTTGAGGTACCCATTGGGCCATTCTTTTGAGAGATACTCATTGACTCCCACAGTGTGAAGGCCCTCTTGGAGGTGCTAGGGATAAAGCTGAGAAACAGATAAGACTCACCTCCCAAATCTAGGCAACCACTGAACTACTTCAGTCTGGATGTCTTGACTAGACTAGTCCGTTTGCAATTCTGTACTGTCTCAGCACCTCATTGAAACCTTCACAGAGCTTGAAGGCAGCCTGGTTCTGTGAATATTCCAAAAGTTTTCGATCAATCAATTAATGAAGATTCTGTGTTTGTCTTGGGCTTTCAATAATTCAACTGTGATGTATCTTGATTTGGATCTCTGAGTTTACGATACTTGGAGTTGTTGAGCTTGACAGTTGATTCATGTCTTTTATCAAATTTAGGCAATTTATTAAGAAAAATTTTTTAAGATAGATACAATAGTGAGTGCTTGTAGTCCCAGCTACTCAGGAGGATGAGGGGGAAAGAGCACTTGAGCCCAGGAGTTCAAGACCAGTCTGGGCAACATAATAAGACCTTGTCTTCATAAAAAACAAAAAACCATGCTGGGTGTGGTGGTGCATGCCTGTAATCCCAGCATTTAGGAGGCTGAGGCAGAAGAATCACCAATACTTCAAGGCCAGCATGGGATACATAGTGAGTTCAAGATCAGTGTGAACTACGTAGCAAGACCCAGTCTAAACAAAACAAAAGTGAGAAGTTTTCAGATTTTAGATATAAAGATATATTCTTTCTACTCCTTTCTTCCCTCCTTTCCTTTCAAGATTCCCATAATGCATATACTGGTACTCTTGATGATATTCCACAGGTCCCAACCCTGAAGGCTCTGTTCACTTTTTGTTACACACTTTTCTTTCTATTTCTTACACTGTGTCATTTCAGTTGACTTATCTTTAAATTCACTGATTATTACTTCAGCTTTAAATCTCTTGTTGAACCCTAGTGAATTTTTCATTTTAGTTATCCGATGTTTCAGCTCCATTTCTAGTTGGTTCTTTTTCATAGTTTCTGTTTTTATTAATACTGTAGCTGGGGGATGTGGTGGCATATGCCTGTAATCCCAGCATTTGGGAGGCTGAGGCAGGAGGATTGTTGAGTTCGAAACCAGCCTGGGCTACAAAGTGAGCTCAAAGACAGCCTGAATTGCATAGTGAGACCCTGTCTCAAAAAAAAAAAAAAAAACTATAACTGGGCATGGTGGTGCACACCTGTAATCCCAGTACTCAGGAGGCTGGGGCAGAAGGGTCACTGTGAGTTCAAGGCCAACCTGAACTACAGAGTGAGGCTGTGTCCTAAAAAGCAAAAAAAAAAAAAAAAAAGATACTACTTGGTGAGACATCATTCTCCTGGTTTCCTTTAATGCTATCCACAATTTCCTTTACTTCATTCAGCATATTTAAGATAATTGATTTATAGTCTTTGTCTAAAAATACAATCTGAGGGGCTGGGGATTTAGCTCAGCGGCACAGCGCCTGCCTGGCAAGCGCAAGGTCATGAGTTCGGTTCCCGGTACCGGAAAAAAACCAAAAACAAAAAAAAAATAAGAGGCGCTGGGAGGCCCAGGGGACGGGCGGGGCGAGCAGGCCCTCGGAGCCGGCCGAGCAGGCTCCCCCAGCCCCCCGCGCCTT